GAAAAAGAAAAAACAAAGAAAGTATGTTATATGCTTTGCATATTGTTTTTGGAGAACTGAGAAAAAATATACTGATAGTGCTTCTTTTGTTGCGTTCAGAGGACTCCAGTGGATGAAGATGAAGGCTTGGTTAACAAACAAAGAAGCAGTAATCATCTCAGATGCAACTCATCTGAAGAGGACTTTATTTTAGAGACTGAAGAGGTCAGAGTCAAAGATTCAATCAAAGTGGTAGTTGATTCAAGGGTACAAGAAACTAGTGCTGCCCTTGAACGGCCCAGGTCAAGCAGGCTTCTCAACCTTAGCAGAAAATTGACTAATCTTGAAATACCAAGAAGAACAGAATTGTTTGAGATGTCAGATGTTGACCATAGAGCTGTTGTGCCATGTAACAATGACAATTCGGTGGATTCTCCATTGGAGGATGGTTATGAGACAGAAGAGGAAACCATTGCTTCAGAGCAGGATTCAATGGTTCCAAAACAAAAGATTGACAGAGAGGTAGAGGATATTCCTGAAGAGTCAATTCTTCAAAGGATTAACTCTAAAAAAGGAATGAAGTCATATCAATTAGGGAAGCAGTTGTCATGCAAGTGGACTACAGGAGCAGGGCCACGGATTGGTTGTGTGAGGGACTACCCCTCAGAACTCCAATTCCGGGCTTTGGAGCAGGTGAACTTGTCTCCAAGAAGTGCGAGCGACACAAAGTCATACTTTTCTCCTCGGTCTGCTAGTAGCCTGAGTCCTAAAGTTTCAACACCAGCAGGTGCCAGGGAAGAAATGAGAAGCTTAAGTTTACCTGTGCTCAAGAAGGAAAATTTGTTGCAGAGGAGCATCCATTCCAGAATGCAGTCGTCCCCATTATTAAGAGGAGCAGTTGTTTGTAACATACCATAGTGGGTACATTCCCAGTTGATTCTTTTAGTGTGAATAGAAAAGATGATATAGGAATTGTGTTTATCATTCTTTTCAACACTTGGTTCATGTACACATTTTTTGATTTGTTCATCTTGTATCATAAGATGACATATGACAGTTGTATTTGTAGGAGTTTTGGGTTTAATGCCCTTTGAATACAAAAGGAAAAGAATTTACCTTTTTGGCAATTGTAAGCTCAGATGAATTTTCATTCAACCTTTAATAGAAAGAGGAGCAAACTGGCAGCAGCAGCTTTTACTGGCCCACTTTCCCATCTCTCGGCAATGGGCCTTCTTGGGTAGGTTTCGCCTGGGCCTGGCCATGAACACTTGCAGTGGCAACCGTTAAACCATCAACCGTCTTTAACTCGTTACAATAAAAAGGGTTGCATTTGAATTGAAAAAACACAAAAATATTTTTGAAATAAACAGAACTTTGGATTTTGACAGTAATTGGATATTTATATTAAATATAATATTATTGTCGACATCTTCTTCTCTCTAATAGGTTGAATTTAATTTTTTTTTGTTTGGGTTTCATATAAATAAATAAATAAATAGGTTGGATCTGGATTTAGGACTAATCCAACGTACATTTTAAATGGCCCAAATTAAGATTTAATTTTTTTGTTTGTCAACTAGGAAACCCAAATCCTCTGATGTCTCATTCTACCCTCTCATGCCCTCATGCTTGATTCTTCCGCACCATTGTTCTTCCAAAGTAGCTCGCTCGTTCCTTGGTTGCTGCAAGTAGGGTTTCCCTCCACACACATTAAGAAATTAAGTACCCTAATTAGGGTTTTGAATGCATATGCATTTTTTTATTAGATTAGGTGCGTTCCATCTAGGGGGTTTTGAGATAATTTATGTGTGTTAATTGAGGCTAAGCTTAGGTTGTTTCGCAGGTCAAATTAACAATTTAGTGCCTATACTTTACTTAAATATTGGGTTTAGTCTCTATTATAATTCATTAAAGCCAAGTCCTTATATTTCAAAATTTGTTAATGTCAATCCAATCATTTAACACCGTCAAGCTTCTTTGTTAAACTTGCTGATGACATGATGTTGATAAATGTTATATCTAGCTCATGTACTCTATCAAAATGTAAATTGAATTTTTATACTTTGTTAAAATGTTAAATTTAATCTTTTTATTTTAATTTATATAAATCAAGTTCTTATACTATCAAAAATTGTTAATACTGGCATAATTATTAATATCATCAAGTTTTTCTATT